AGAGGTACAAGATTTTATGGCGCTGATGGATTTGGGGGTTCAGAAGGCAGGTTGAATGACAAATTGAACATTAAATGAATTCTTCAGATGCTTATTAACCATGACACGAGATTTATTATGAAGTGAGGAGGTGATTTGACCCTTTTAAATCATTTTCCCTCTGGTTAGAATAGTTGTAAACGATTATAGACCCCAAAGTTTTCTTTCTATTGCTTCAAAAAAAAAAAAAGAAGAGAGAAGTGATTTGCTGGCTCTGCGGATTCTTCACAGCTTACTTTAGAAAGCCGATACAGATACTTTCCACCCGAGATAGAAAAAAAAAAGCAACAAAAAATAAATCGCAGCCTTTTCCAGTTTAGAAGCAGCAGTCGATATTTTGATTTCAGCATGCTTCTGATTTACTGTGGAGTCCTGCTCAGTACGCTCAGCAACGCGCTGGAATCCCATCCCGTGTCTAATTGGCTGGATGGTATTTCCTCAGCAGAGGAGGGGGGGGGAGTGAGTGGTGGGATTTCACTGGGAGGGGGAAGACCGGAGCAAGATACCTCCACAGGGACGGACTCGGCAGATAAACCCGGCCATGCACGGACATACAACCGACCCGCCGCAGCATCTCCTCCTGGCACGTCCACCTGTTAGCTGCTGGGGGGTGAAACTCTGGAGGGGAACCTCTAAAAATACATGTTTGTTTGGTTTATGTTGTGTAACAGATTCCAACGTGCGGCTGCAGAAATCAGCGAGCAGGTCGGGCTGCAGAAACACCTCCGCGCACATGCACGAGGTGTTTTCACAAGGAAAGGGTGTTTGGTTACAGCTGCGCCACAGTTCAGAACTAGTTTTTTCTTTATATTTCTCAGGAATATTTTCTATCCCGTCATGTTGTCGTTGCACCGTTTCACTTCCCTGTACTGTACGAGCACATGACAGCTCGGTCTGAAGCTCTATTTAGAGTTGAAGAATTTAGAAGTTGGAAAGTGTAAATGGAAGTTCTGCATATTTTACAACACCTGCTGCGGCTTTAACAGATGTTGGACACAGCCTGCAG